GCGTGGAGCGTGGCGCGTGTACTAAGAACGGTGCTCAGGGGTCCGCTGCAATACAGTCGCCCGGCCAGCTGCTGACCCCGCCCCCCCCGCCACGTATCGCCCAGCCGACAGCCCAACCCCCAGCTGCCAGCCGTGCCCACCCTGCGTGCGGGGTCTCCGACCCTGAGAATCTCCGCCCACAGCTCGCTGGTGGCCAGGTAGTGGAAGAACTGCGGCACACTGTTCTTCACCAGCATCTCAAGGAGCTGGGGGTGGGGGGGGGGGCCAGCGCATGCCGGGGTCAAAGGGACTGGGCGGCGGCGCCATGGGGATCAGCGCGTGTGGATGCAGCTCTCGCCGCAGCCCGCAAACGGCCAGGAGCGTGCATGGCCCCGCTCAAGTCCCGTGTGTGCCCACCGCGAGCGACAGGAGCTGCACGTGGGGGTTGGGCTTGAGGAAGGCGCGCCGCACCGCACGCGTAATCGCGTCAATGGCCACACTGGTGGGGTGAGGGGAGTCAGAAAGCAGGCCGTCAAAACCACACGCACCACAGTACGCGACCATTGGCGCCGCAATGCATGCACCGCCGACGGCGCGCGTGCGTGCACAGACTCATCCCTTCAGCATGTGAAGGGCGCCTGCTGTCACAGCGCCCTGCGCGCCCCGACCTCGCGCCCAGCAGGCCGCAGGGGCGCCTCCTCCAACCTCCCCTGTTGCTTCACTGGGCAGCCTTTGCCATGCACAGGGCGCCCTCCAAGCCGCTAGGTGATTGCCCCGCGGCAGGCTCCTCACTCTGGGTTTGTGTTGACCTCGTCCACCACCGCCAGGTTGAGCCCCAGGTCCGGAGCCTGCAGCGACTCGGACGTGGCGCGCTCCACCAGGTCGGACAACCGCTTCTCCGCAGGGTCCAGCTCCCCCACCACGTCTTTGAACGTCTCCTTGATCTTGCCCTTCCACTCCTTCAGGAGCTCCATGCCTGCGCGCCGCGCTGCTGCGAGGCGCCCTCCGGCCGCTGCCGCGTGACAGAAGGTGCTGGCAAGCGTACAGGTGTCCCCCTAACAGCACGACCTGTCGCCTGATCAGTCTCCTGGATGTAGAATCAAGATGCGCACCGATCGCAAACGGGGTAACAGGCGCGTGGCAAGCCCCCTGCCTTCAAGTCAGGGTGCCAGGAGGCTTGCGAGAGTAACGGGAAACAGCAACCCAGTATAGCAAACAATAACCAACACCAACACAACACCGCTGCACAACCACGCAGGAGGTGCGATCCAGGCACCGAAGGAGGAAGCTGCTTGATCTGTTGCTGGGCTTGCGGACTCTCTGCTTCACGCTAGAACCAAGAAGTTGTCCTGAACAATCACAAGTGCACACAGCCCAGCCGCAGTGGCGCCATGCGACGCAAGATTCTACACGATTGTGTGCGCTCTTATCATTCCAGGGTCGTCGGGCTACTGCCCACACCACCTGCTGAGAGGTTAACACTGAGAGATTAAGACTGAGAGATCAATATTGAAAGATCAACACTGATTGTGCGCGGCCGGCTTGCATCTTGTTGATGAGCAGCTTGCAATGTAGGCCCGCTGTCGCCCCCTCCACCACCGCCCGTCATTTCACTCCCATCGTCCGCCCATGGCAGGCACACAACCAAAGCCACCAACGAAACTCTAAACCCATGACCACCCCCTGCATCCCACCAGCTGTGACAGTCACCCAGGGCAATCACAGCTCCGGCCAGTGCCCCGCCGCCAGGCAGCACATTGGCAGCCTGATTTACCATGACCACCCCCTCCATCCCACCAATATGCCACAGAAAAGCATACAAGACCCCTGCCAACCCCTCCAACCCCCTCCAACCC